AAAAATGGGAGTTCATAACCCACTTGAATCAAAGTGTGAAATATGATATATCAAGAACTATGTAATGTTTTGAACAACCAACAATAAAAAAAATTTAAAGGTTTGGGGATGTAGTTCAGTGGTACAGTGTTTGCCTGGTTCTAACCCCAGTACTGCCAAAAAGACAAGACAAGACAGGGGGAATAGGCCTGAATAAACATTTAATCAAAAATAAGGTACAGAGGCTAGGATTGTCGATCAGTAGTAAAGTGGTTGCCTAGCACGCATGACACACTAGGTTCAATCCTCAGCACCACCTACAAAAAATAAATAAAGTTATTATATCTATCTACAACTAAAAATATATTTTTAAAAAGATGTTCAATGTGTCTCTAGGGAAATGCAAATTAAAACAAGGAATACCAAAACACTGACACCACAATATGCTGACAAAATGTGAAGCAAGAGAAACACTGACTCATCAATGCAAATGCAAAATGTACACTTTGGAAGACAATTTAGCAGTTTGTTTTTATTCTTGTTTTAAACAAAACTAAACACTTAGCTGGGTGTGGTGGCGCACACCTGAAATCCCAGCAGCTTGGGAGGCTGAGGCAGGAGGATGGCAGCCTCAGCAACTTACTGAACCCTAAGCAATTTAGTGAGACCCTGTCTCAAAATAAAGTAAAAATAAAATAAAAAGGGCTAGAATGTAGCTCAGGAGAAAAACACCCCTAGATTCAATCCCCAATACCAAAAATTAATTATCTAGAAGTTTTTTTTTAAGTGAAGAAAATTCTTACATGCAAAAATGCTTCATATTTAAATTTATATTAATGGCTAACAAGAGCACATGCTATGTGATGGACATTGAAATAAATGGATTAACTAAATTATAAGAAAAAAAATGGTTGAATGTAAATATCAGAGCAGAGAAATAGGTCACTATATTATAAACAAATCAGTGAATTAGAGGGGAGTTATTAAAATGCAATTGATAAAGTCTGTGGTAATACTGTTAAATCCACATGTTAAACCAAATAACAAGATATTTAGTACAATTATCATTGTTATTTTCAAAAGGGAAAAAATGGCTAAACAGAGAAGACTGGAATCAATACACTAGATTAGACTATATTCAAGAGTAAAAGCATATAATTTTAATTTTTCCACACTTCTAATTTCATAAATGTATTTCAATGAGTACACATTAAATTGAAAAAAAATATTTTTTAAAAAATGGTTTTCATAATTTGGCTTCCTCACATATTGTTGGGAAGGTTAAACAATGGAAAATTATCTGTATGTCAATTTGGTACTATAAAAAGCAAGACTTGGGGCTGGGGTTGTGGCTTGATGGCAGAGCACTTGCCTGGCATGTGGGAGGCACTGAGTTTAATCCTCAGCACAGCATATAAATAAATAAAAAATAAAGGTACATCAACAATTAAAACATATTTTTAAAAAATCAGGACTACATGTGGAATACTAAGATCTAGATTTCAGATACAACTCTGATACTACCTGCTTGACTCTAAACAAGTTAAATACATTGTTTTTTTTTACCTTGTCTCTGGAGAATGGATAATAACTTCATTAGAGCTGCTTATTTATATTAATGAGCTTAGTGTTGCATAAAACACCATCAAAAGTATCCCTCGGGTTGGGGTTGTGGCTCAGTGGTAGAGCACTTGCCTAGCACATGTGAAGCATGGGTTTAATCCTCAACATCAGATAAAAATAAATAAACAAAATAAAGGTATTGTGTCCAGCTGGGGATGTGGCTCAAGTGGTAGCGTGCTTGCCTGGCATGCGTGCGGCCCGGGTTCGATCCTCAGCACCACATACAAACAAAGATGTTGTGTCCGCCGATAACTAAAAGAAATAAATATTAAAATTCTCCCTCTCTCTTTAAAAAAATAATAAAAATAAAGGTATTGTGTCCAGCTGGGGATGTGGCTCAAGTGGTAGCGTGCTTGCCTGGCATGCGTGCGGCCCGGGTTCGATCCTCAGCACCACATACAAACAAAGATGTTGTGTCCGCCGATAACTAAAAGAAATAAATATTAAAATTCTCCCTCTCTCTTTAAAAAAATAATAAAAATAAAGGTATTGTGTCCATCTACAACTTAAAAAATATTTTAAAGTATCCCTTGATTTCTCTATATGTATGCCTATGGGAGGGGATGAACTGGAGATGGAACCCCGGGCTGCCTGCATGCCAAGCAAATGCTCTACCACAGAGCTATACAACAAGACTGGGTTATTTGTGATTTTCTGAAATCATTCTTTGTTGTAAGTGAGGCACTCCTGACCCATACACATCACCAAGACATTATTCTCCCTTTTCCTTTGACAAGGTCTCCTGCCCTCCTCTTCCCTTAAAAGACCACTTTCAGTCTTGTGCTCCTAGAATTCACAATTACAGCTACATCCTCACCAACAGGTTCTCTATATTCCAACCCTCTCTGCGTTCTCCTCATGACTTCCCCACCTCTCCCAAACACAAAAGTCCCATAATGTGAGATTTTATTCAGCTACTGTTAGCGAGACTTCCTTCTGCATGAGCAAGAGAAACCTAAGACCTGACATCAAATTAAATCTTATAAGGAGATATCTTTACAAAGTCCACTAAAATCCCAATTATTTCTTTTATCACTAATTAAATTTGAAGTTTCAGCCACCACACTGTAATCCCAGCAACTGGGGAGGCTGAGGCAAGAGGATACCAAATTTGAGGCCAGCCTCAACAATTTAGCAATGCCCTAAGCAACTTAATGAGATTGTGTCTCAAAATAAAAAATAAAAAGGGCAGGGAATGTGGTACAGTGATTAAGTAACCCTAAATTCAATCCTGGTCCCCCACCCCCCAAAATCTGAAATTTCTCAAGGACAAACTGGTCTTAAATTGTAAATGCATACTTATATCTAGACATTATGGTTTAAATAGACTTCTGTAAAATAAAAGGAAATCACAGACCATTACAAAAATGATCTTAATACACAAGCCAGGTGCTATGGTACATGCTTGTAATTACAGTGACTCAGAGGCAGAGGCAGGATGATCACTAGGTTCACAGCCAACCTCAGGAATTTAGCATGACCCTATCTCATAAATAAATTAAAAGGGTTACAGATGTAGCTCAGTGGGTACAGTGCCCCTGGGTTCAATTCTCACTACTTCAAAAAGAAAAAAATTAAAATACCTTATGAGAACCAAAAAAAACTAATGCTGATTTGCTAGTTCTTAATAGACATATTTAGATATTTTTATAGACTTTTAGAACATCTATAAAACAACTAACGGACATTAATTCTCATCTGCAATTTATTTTATTCTTAAGACAACCCTATGAATTATCCGCATTTTTCTTTTCGGGGTAAGAATGGGGAAGCTAAGGCTTGGAGAGGATGAGATCACAATCCATTAAGTGGCAGAGATGGCATCAAATTCAAGACTTGTTCTGAGGTCTATTTTCTTAATTTTTAGGACACAACACCTCTAGTTCAAAATATAAAATATTTATGACAATTACTAAGTCTTAAATTCCCAGGAATTCATAAAGAAAAAAGGCATTTCATATAAATCTTTTCACATTAATTTCATTCCAAGTTTTAATCTCCAGCGTGAAGCCTCTGATGTCGAACAAGTGCTGACCTGTGCCTAAAGGGTTTCCTACATTCAGTGCATTCACAAGGTTTTTCTCCAGTATGAATTCTGTAATGCTCACTGAGGTGTGCTTGTTTGCGAAAAGTTTTTTCACACTCACTACACTTATAAAGTTTCTCTCCAGTGTGAGTTCTTTCATGTACGGCAAGGAAGGAGTTCTGAGTGAAGACTTTTCCACACGTGGTTCATGTGTAGGGCTTCTCCCCTGAATGAACCCTCTGATGCTGCATGAGGCATGTGCTCTGATTGAAAGCTTTCCCACATTCATTACACTTAAGGCTTATCTCCAGAATGGCTTCTCTGATGACGAGTGAGGCATATGCTCTGACTGAAGGCTTTGCCACATTCCATGCATTTATATGGTTTCTCTCCAGTATGAATTCGTTGGTGTTTAATAAGGGATGCTCTGACAAAAGTTTTTCCCACATTCATTGCATTTATAAGGTCTCTCTCCAGTATGAATTCTCAGATGCTGGACAAGGACTGCTTTTATTTGAAAAGCTTTCTCACATTCATTACATTTATAAGGTTTCTCTCCCGTATGAATTCTCAAATGTTGAGTGAGATTTGACTGTTTAAGGAAACATATTCCACATTCTCTACACACATAGGGCTTCTCTCCTGTGTGAATCCTATGATGCTGGAAAAGAGATGATCTCTGAGTAAAGAATTTTCCACACTCACTACATTTTGAAGATTTCTTCTGCATGTTAACCCTTCATTGTTTCATTTGGAGTAAAATCTGACTAGAACTTGTGCTGTCTGTAACACATTGAAAGAGCTTCTGTCTAAATAGGTTTAGAGTTAGATGAAACCTCTTAAATTCATACTTAGGAGGTAGCTTCTTAAAGATGGTTGTCACTAGAGGAATATTTTTCCCAGTGAAAGTGGTGTGATTGTGTGTGTGCACACAAACATGTGCACATGTTGTCCTCTCTGTAGTTCCTGTAGGATTTCCACCTTTTCTGTAGCATGTATTTTCAACTTTTCCAAAGTCAGTCCCTGACAACCAGCTTCTCTGAAGAAAGAAAAGAAGTAGTGACAAATATTAGGAATTCAATTAAATTTTCTGTCATAATTGATAGAGCATAACTGATGGAACATAAATTCTGAAGCAATCGAATGCTAGCAACTAATCGAGGTAATCTGGGATCATCTAGGTTTCATCTATAATGATAAGTAGTACAAAATGTGAAATAAATAAGTATCTTGGACTTGGGTAAATTAAATGTGGAGGAAATTTGCTGTCCACCTACTTCTCAAAAATAGGTGAATAGTTACTATAATATTTTGGCAGAATAGTAATAACTAAAGTTTCCTTTCCAAGATTTCAAAGGGCATCCATGCTGTAACTTTCACTAGATCCATCTTACAAATTTTTTCTTATTCGCTTGCCTTGTCAGGTATGTCGTTGAACCCCTTTCAGTGCAAAGTGTTCAGGTAGTTTTTCCTCTATCTCCAATTGAGAAATCTATAGGTTTGAAAATTAGAGTCCTGCTTACTGAAAGAATATAACATTGTTTTCATTCGAGAAAGTGAGACAAAGGTCATTAGGAAGAAGTCAAGACAGTAACCTGAATATAGCAACGGGACACAGGGTCTGGCTCTCACCGTTGTAGCCAAAGAAATGCTCTAGAGTTTGTCACACTAATTACATTTACAAGAGGAAATATGTAGAAAACAAAGTCCCTTTGTTAATTTAAAATGAAAACTTTTTGTGCTCAATGTCCTACTGGTTAACACAGTCACTTCACTCTAGAAAAAAATCATATGGGAACCAAATCATTGTCATTAGAATGCTCCCAGAGAAGCACCGAATTGGAGGAAAAAAGGAGTACTCAGATGAGTGTAATGGCATCAAATGTCAAAACCATGATGTTGGAATAAGGGCACAGAGAACAAGAGAGTGGATACTCGGGGGGTACACATCACAGCATCTGCTTCCCTGGATGCACTGGAGACACTGTCATATTCTTGTTTTCTGAGGCTCCTTCTTATCTTAGTTTTCTAATCACATGTTATGCATGAATATATCCTCATTTTTAATATTTAGGAAGAAATCAAATTATCACTAGTTTAAGATGATATAATCCTATACTTATCAAGATCCCAAAACTTCTACCAAAGGACCTCTAGAACTGATAGACAAATTTAGCAAAGTAGCAGGATACAAAAGCAACATACAAAAATCAATAGCCTTTCTATACACCAGCAATGAATCTGCTGACAAAGAAATCAGGAAAGTAATTCCATTTATACTATAGCTTTAGAACAAACAAACAAACAACATATGAATATATCTAATTAAAAAGGTAAGAGACCTTTAACAACAAAAATTAGAGAACACTGAAAAAAGAACTGTAAAACACTAGAAGATGCAAAGTCCACCCAGGTTCCTGGATAGGCAGAATTAATATAGTTCAAATGGTCATTAGCAAAAGTGTTCTACAAATTCAATGCAATTCCCATCAAATTATCTATAACATTCTTCAAAAATCTTATAAGAAAACAGTACTAAAATTCATATGGAAGAACAAAAGAGCCAGTTTAGTCAAAGCAATTCTGAGCAAAAAGATCAATGCTGGAGGAATCACAATACCCCATTTCAAATTATAATACACAGTTATTATAACTTAAATAGCATGGCACTGACCTAAAATAGTCTCAGAGACAATAAAAAAATAGAAGACACAAAGACAAACACACATAACTACATTCATATGATCCTTGACGAAGGCACTAAAAACATGCTGGAGAAAAGACAGCTTTTTATCAAATGGTACTGGGAAAACTGGATATCCACATGTACAAGAATGAAACTAGATCCCTGTCTCATACCCTATACAAAAGTCAACTCAAAATGGATTTAAAAACCTAGGAAATAGATTAAAAACTTTGCAACTGCTAGAACAAAACATAAGGAAACACTCCAACATATAGGTTCAGAGAACGACACCTTCCTCATTAGGACTTCTAAAGCTAAGGAAATAATGCCAAAAATTAGAAATGGGTCAGCATTATGTTAAAATGTTTCTGTACAGCAAAGGAAACAATTAATAGCATAAATAGAACCAGGTGTGGTAGCACACACCTGTAATCCCAGTGACTCAGGAGGCCAAGGAAGGAGGATCCAAAGTTCAAGGCCAGACTCAGCAATTTATCAAGGCTCTAAGTCACTTAGTGAGACCATTTCAAAATAAAAAATAAAATTTCAGGGGGATGTGGCTCAATAGTAACATGCCCCTGGGTTTTTTTGATACAGAAAAAAACATGAAGAAAGCCTACAGATGGAAGAAAATCTTTGCTAGCTTCTCCTCTGATAGATGGTTAATATCCAGATTATATAAATAATTTTTAAAACTTACCCTAAAAAGAAAAATAATAAAATAAACAGGCAAATGAACTAAACATACATTTCTCAAAAGAAGTAGTACAAATGGCCAACAAATATAAGAGGAAAATGCAAATCAAAACTGCAACTGAGGCCCGGAATAGTAGCACATGTCTATAATCCTAGACTCAGGAGGCTAAGGTAGGAAGATTGCAAGTTCAAGGGCATCCTCATCTCAGGGAAACCCTGTCTCAACATAAAAATCTACAAAATGGGCTGAGGATATAGCTCAGTGGAAAGGTGCCCCGAATCCACTCTCCAGTACCACAAAAAAGAAACAAACAAACAAACAAAAAACATATTACATGAGATTTCTTCTCACTCCAATTAGAATGGCAATTATCAAGAATAAAAATAATAACAAATACTATGTGTGGGAAGCCATTCTAACACGTGATTGGGTGACTCCCGTTAAGGGTCTGAGGCACTTTGGCTGTGTCGAAGTTTTCCCGGCCCTTTCCTGATGAGAGAGCCCATCCGTGTGGGGGTGTGCCTGACCACTGACCCCGGGGACCCAATCACTGACCCTGACCTTGGAGTGCAGCCCCCCCTCAACCTTCATTGGATGGAATTCTCCCCTGAATCTCTTGTTCCCCAATAAAAGGCTACTCCTGGCGTGTTCACACTCTCTCTCTCCTGCTAGCCCTGAGTAATCCTTGCTGCCCTGCTGGGCGGTTAGAGGAGCGAACCAGAGAGGGGAGCCGTCTTGGACCTAGCAATAGAAATAAGGTAACTGAGTCTGTGTGTTTTATTTCGATCTCTTCTAACTAACTTTATGCCTAGAACTTCATTAATGAAACCATTGCACAGGCCGCGTGGTAGACTAGGAAGGATGCAGGGGGGAAAAAAACCTTACACACTGTTGGAGGGACTTTAAATTAGTAAAACCACTATGGAGATTGGTGCAGAAATTCCTCAAAAGACTATGGAACCACCATATAACCCAGCTATACCATTATCCCGTATTTATTGAAGAGTTAAAGTCAGCATACTATACTGATACAAGTATGCCCAAGTTTATAGCAATTATAGAATCAGCACAGGTTATCTAATAACAGATGAATGAACACAGAAATTGTGTGTGTGTGTGTGTGTGTGTGTGTGTAAGTGTGTTTTATTCAGCTATCAAGAAGAAAAAAATTTGTCATTTTCAGGAAAATGAAACCAAAAAACATCTTGTTGAACGAAATAAGCCAGATTCAGAAAGTCAAGGGTCATATTTATGTTCTCATATGTAAAAACTATGGAATAAAAATGGGGGAAAGGGGATCCCATAAAATTATAAGGGAGGGCAAAGAAAGGGTATCAGGGAAAGAAAGGAGGTAAGGAAAAGGGGAGTAATACTAGGGAATGAAACTGACCAAATTAAGTACATGTATGAATGTCAGAATGAATCCCAATATTATGTATCAATTAAAAAATACATGTGTACCAGATAAAATAGTCATTTTATAGCTATTACCCCACCCCACCCTACCCAAACAAACCCATTCCCTTTCTCTGATATTATAAAGTTTGGAGTATATTCTTCCATTGCTTTTTCTATATATTTTTCTACACACAAATAGCAATTGGTGCTTTTTACATAAATAAAGTTGTTTCCTAAGTCTTTCTCTACAATTTGCTTCACTACTATCTGAGGAGAGTAGCACAATGATAAAATTTGGGCTAATGAGTGATTTTTCTGGGGTTTTTTTGGTACTGAGGATTGAACTTAGGGGCATTCTACTGAGCCACATGTGCAGCCCTATTTTGCATTTTATTTAGAGACAGGGTCTCACTGAGTTGCTTAGCACCTCACTGTTGCTGAGACTGGTTTTGAACTCGTGGTCCTTCTGCCTCAGATTCCTGAGCCACTGGGAATATAGGCATGCACCCAGCTTGAGTGAACTTTTGAAAGGCAGCAGGAAGAATGCACGAAGGCAGCATGTGCTACTTAAGGACTTAAGCATCCTTGAATAAAAATCCCTCCACAGGAGAAAAGGCTAGAAAACAAAGGCTAACCAAGCATAATGGAAAAGCAGCTGACTTCAGAAGTCATACTGTAGGGCTAAAGTAGAGAGCAGTGGGACATGCAACAGACTCCGTCAAGAGGTCTGGATTTTAGTCTTAACTTAGTTCTGCCCTTGATTTGTTCAATGACTTGGTGCAAGTCACTTAGTCTCATTTGTGATTTTTTTCTTTTCTGTGAAATTAAAAGTTGATAAGAGCTAAAGTAGCTTATAATACCAAAATTCTTTGACTCTAAAACAGAAGGCAAAAGTGAAAAAAACTAAAACCAAGCCCTTCCAATCCATCTTTGATTGAAGCTGCTTGTT